TATCCTGTTTTGTTTGCTTCTAATTGGCTACAGCTTCGTGCACGAAGGTATACCCGACATCCCTGAGATGCGGTAGGCGTGGCTGCGTACTTCAGAGTGACTGTGCTATTGGTGAGATATTTTCATTTTGAGGCTGTAATCATGTCTTTGTTCGACATAGAACAAGGTGACAGTTGTCTCAGACTGAAATATCCCACGAGTAACCAATCTTATGCCATTTACGAAGGGCACGGCCTACTCCGGATGAGGAGTATAGATCGCCGAGACTATAAAGCCAATAAGGGGTTCGGCGCAGATTTGATGATTTAAGCTACACTGGCGTTCGCGCTGGGGAAGGACGCTGTGCTTTCTTACAGACTATACCGATACTCATGCTCAAGGGGTACCGGGTAGGCATATTGAAATTTTGGCCCAGAAATAAAAAAGTAGAATTATAAAGAAAAACTAGTGCAAAAATACGAAAAAATGATGTTCTGATTAGTGGAAGGGAAGCCGAAACAACCTACCGCCCTCCCTTTTCCACAGCTCTTCTTGTGGTCTTCTCATAACGGTCTAAGGTGCAATGTGATGGATAAAAATCAAAGTTCTATAATATAGTAAGATAATAATCAGATCTTATGATATAAAACTAATTGTATTTTGCATAAGTAAAGCTCAGAAGGGACCGTTGCCGTTTTACAATGCTCCCGGCAATTAATTGAAGATTTTATTCCGCATATACATATTATGGTCATAAATCTTATTGGAATTTGGAAGACTAGACATTTGAGCATGTACAAAATGAAGTGATTACAACGGTAATGAGAGAATATTACAGTTGATATCGTCTCAATCAGTAGGGGCGTGGTCAAGAGGCCTGGAATATGCCCATCAGCGGCGTTCCCTGCCATTGGTTGTTCCTTCCTCGGTGGATGACTTAGCGACCAATATTGGTAGAAAACGCGGCTGAAGGCGGGCTCCCTTCGCCACTCCTGACAGTGCCACGACTGATTGCGATGATTGAGCTATATGGGCTTGAATTAGTGAAAAATCTCCTGATACAATAAATCTGACGCTTTTCCTACTCAAAATATACAAACATAGCAAATAGCTACAAAACACAATCACAAATAGATCTTAGAAGCTCATAGAAAGAAAGCTTTTTGCGAAAAAAAGTGAATAACTACACAGCACAATTACAAATAGATTCTTGAAGGCTCGTGAAGAGAAAGCTTCCTGCGACGAAAAGTGAGAAAATCCTGTGAGAAAATTGTATAGGAGAGGGGGCGCATCGGGAGATCCGACTCCCATCGACGTGCAGAGACTAGCTTCACTCAAGGCATTCGCCAGCTAATTGGGCTCAGCTTTTGTAATACTTACCAGGGCACATCGTTGTTGGAATCCCCAATAGGGGGGGGGGTCGTATTTGGTCGCCAGGAGAGGGGGGTCGTATTTGGGCTGGGAAAAATTTATTTTGATAGTTGATTTTTCTCGCTTCACGAACGTTGTAAAGGGGGGGGGGTCAAGTCACATTGGTCAATTGTTGGAAGTGGGGGTTCTGTATTTACGTTTTGGCGTTGTAGGACTAATTGTTGACTTTTGGGGATTTCCCTGTTTATGACCGTACTATATGTCTCCCGCACCAGCTGACAGCCTCATGAGCATGGACAGAGGGCTTAGGGTGGGGGGGGGTCGTACAGACTCGATTACAATCCCCAACCAATGATGTGCAATGATACTTACCATTAGATCTTGATGCGAATGTCACGAGCGCGATAGAGTTCCCTCCCGCTGAGCCGCCGCAAGTCGGACTTGCTGACCAGCACCTCCGAGAAATACAACATGAAAAGATGAGCAGGCTGTCGAAGACAGTTGTCCATTGCTGATCCAAACTGGTACTGAATTTTCAGGATGACCAAGTGAGAGGATTGAAAATCGATATGACAGCAAAAATTACTTTGAAAAACGAAGCCACGAAACTTAGGTGTGACTCGGCTTCTTGCCTTCTCCCATCAATTGTAAATCGGTTATAGATTCCCGTTTTATAGAAAAAAAGGAGACTTTTTGCCAACCTCAGTCAGGCTGACTCGAAAGCTGCGTTCAGACTTCGCTGCCATGTCGCACGGCGACATGACGTCCGTTGCAGACCATGTAATCGATCCGGCGCCGGCTGCCAGTGTTCTGGGAAAAAGTATGGTGTGAAGATGAGAGTGTAAAATTGGCCGACTGACTCACCTATTCTCCGAACTCGATCACCTATTATCCTGTACTCTCCAAAAAAAATCTGACGCCTGCACAGGCTGCATGCGCCGTTTTATTGTTGCGCTCTCATCTATACTTGGAGCGCTATTGCAACGGCAGACAACGAAGCGCGTAACCGCGAAGTCTAAACGCAGCTTCTCCATGCTGCACCCTGTGCAAGAGCGGTTCCGCAAAAATGTGTACGCGCTACTGGCATGTCGCCGCGACGCGTGCCAGGACCTAACGTCTCATATTTACCCTACTACCCATCACAACCTAGTTTTTAGTTATCCTATGAGAAATGATTGTAGTGCAATAACACTAATCTAGAAAATACAGTACTCTCTGAAGATCAGAACTCCTTGAAATCAGCCTAGACTGCAAATTTCAGTTAGTCTCAAGGAAAATCAAGCAATTGGCTTCAAGCCGATGAGCACAGATATCGCTACAGCCGTACCAATGGCGACCACAACGAAGAACAACAGGATGAACACCTGGAGGAACCGGCTGTCTGAAAAAAAATGCGTTAGACGGTTAGGATTTTCGCTTCAGTCCATAAAAGAAAGACCATGGGGCTGTTCCACTTGGGAGGGCGCCCCGAGCGACTGGCCCAACTGAATATTGTCGGAAAACTTGTCTCGACAATTATATACTAGACCCTCTCAATGGAATCCGTGTAGACGGCGGTGGTAGTACCACCAACGCGAACCATTTCGATCTCACCAGACACGCGATGTCGTCCTGTCCACCAGTCTGAAATCTCTGGTTACTAGATAAAACAACGCAATCCAGAAGAAAGTAAGCTACGTACTTTTGAAGTGAGTATTTCCATAACTATACAGGTAAGTCCTGCGACGGCGACAAATGCTATGTAAAGGCCGAGAGCTGCATCGCGGTCACTGAACATTCTGAAGTGGACCACAGCGATCATCGTCGCCGCTGCTGAAATGTAATAGGAGTGAGAGAGAGCTGTCTCTACGTCTCGCGCAGGTTAACGACTGGTTTTCTTCTCGTCGGCAGTACGTCAAAAAGCTTGGCACTAGCCAAAAATATTTTTTTTAATGTCTAGGAATTTTCTTCGCTTGTTAACATCAGAGGTTTCCTACAAGCGAAAGTAATAGGGCCGCTCACGTTAGTTTCGGGGGGGGGGGGGAGGGGCATCGGAAGGTAGGGGCACGCAAGCTCAGAATGCAGACGGCCAACGTTCCGAGCGATAGCACTGCAGAGAATCATTATCTAGTCTTCCCAACTACATTAATGCCAAAGTATGCAAGGAAATATCAGAGGACTACTAGTTAGTTTGCTGGCTTTGACTGTAATATCCCTAAAACTTGTGACTGCTCAGAACTTCTGGAAAAATCTATCTTGTGGCTTTTTGCAGGTCCTTCCGGTTACTGCAGTAAAAGTAAGGAAACGCACCAGAGTGGAAAAGAAAACAAAAGCAAAAGTTTTTGAAAATAACTCGGTAAAGATTTCCCTACGCACCTGCGCAAAGCCAGCTGCCAAAACCGAAGAATCCGTGAATGATGTTGAAAAGCCATCGCCCTTTCCCGTCAGGATGGCCAACTAATAACCCCAAAAAATTCAATACAAATAGTTCTTCGCGAGGAATAATCTTATACTTTCTAATGACAACGTCTACTGGGGAACAGCAAGAGGAAGATGACATTAATCCTGCCTATTTTGAAAATATAAACTTGCGCTCGTTAAAAAAGATCGGTGTTCTGCGCTGGGTTAAAGGCAATTCCCGCGACCACTTCATATATAATACAGTTCAAAAATAGAATTGCTGTGCGCTTGTTGACCTACTGAAGAATATTGAAGTTCGAAAAACCGCCCGCAATAAGACCCTCTTTATTGCAATGGATCGTGATCACCGGACGAGCATAAGACGGTCAAGATCGATTGTGAATTGCAAAGGACGACGATACACTGGGATGAGAGGAGAGAGACCAGAAATTGGCGGGCGAGAGAGCACAATGGCATCGTCACGATGACACGGGTATCGGAGGTCGGCATGGGCCTATTGGGCGCCAATGGGCCTAAAACCTATGCGTTTTGCGCTCTACTTGCTAGTTTTCGAATTTTACAACCAATACAGCGTCTGCGGGTACCTTGCCTGTTGTCGTCAGTGCACATTTTGAAGAGCACTGTGGCCTTATTTTTATCGCGGACGTGCATTTAAGGCATTTTGCTAGTTCCCGTTGACCACAGTCATATGACTTCTGCACAGACTTGTGAAGTCTGAAAAGCTATGCAAGAGCAGGAGCTCCGTCTACAGGACGATTAAGTTAAAGCAATTGGCAAAAGAGACTAGTGAAAGCGAAATATGTTCCTCCCAAGCCGAACAGAGCCAAAATACGAATAAAAACAAATTGTTCAACAACAGATGATGCAAGAATTTAATCTTTTTTAAACGAAATCGGATAGGATCGCTCGACAGTTAGAGAAATGAGCCGCGTACTCCATATCCCGAAGATGGAGGGGGCTGGCTGCCGTGTCTCACTTACAAGATGGGCGGATGCGCCCTTCGTTGGCATAATGTAGACAAACAAGCATTCTTTCTTTGGACGTGGACAAAGGGCACACTCATCTTGTTCCATTAACTGTGATATCCCATCAAAGGGCAACTACTGCTAAAATTCAAGTATTCCGCCACGCCCCTCCCACCTCCGGGATTCTCACAAGTGTAAGAAGCTGGTCACAAAATTAGAATCATCACACGAACTAAATCTAAAATACTCTACCTGAAAACGGCATTAAGCGGTTGAGCCCAAGCAACCACACAAGCGATAAGTCCCAACATCGCATGAACAGATCCCCATTGGTTGTTCTAAACAAGATGAATAGAACTTACTGACACTGTACCACCGTAGTAATAATAAGCCTCACCAGTTCCGATGACTGATACGCTTTTGGTCCTACCCATCTCCAGTCCTTTGCCACAAACACTACCACAAAGCCGGCTATCGTACCTGCTATACCGATCATGTTGAGGTACGATGGAACTGAAAATGCAGGTCAGAATTTTGAAGGCAGTGGGCATGACTGTTAGACGAGGGCGGTTGTTGCCAACGTCATTGGTATAAGGGTTGCTCGAGAAAGACGTTTGCGTCAACCCATTTAGGGCCTGTCTACCCAATGACGTTGCGACAGCAGTCCGCTCCTAACCATCTGTGCCACTGCCTTCTGAATGGACGATTGGAAATGGCAGTAAGCTATGCCAGCAAAAATCTTTATTGGGCGGATCCGTCCTCACAATTTTTCCTATATGTGTTTGAATCTGAAGTGGTACTGCAAAATTGCGATCTTGTCAGGAAATCGCGAATTGTTTGGGGGGGACGGATTTTGCGCGGAACAAGCGCCAGCGTACGCGTGTATTTGCTAGAAGTCGATTCGGGTTCGCCTGGCTCTAGAACGCTCTCTCTAGCAGTTGAAGGCTCCCTGCGTGCGAATGCCGCGTGCGCGATGCGCTCTACGAAGTGTACCGCGCAAACTCGGATTTTGACAGCTATGACATATTACAGGCGCAATGAAAATCGCCGACAACGAGGGGAGAGAAAAGTCGGGAATTTTGCAATTTTTTAATCTTGAACAATTGACCAATCAGAGTAAGCATTCAAATTTTTGACACCAACCAGCCACATTCGTGTTACAAGTGCCTATAAACTCCTAGTCTGAAGAACTCACATGGAACCAGAGTTGAAGTCCACAAAGTGCTGAGTTCGGGCAATGTCCTTTCATATGACGAGCGAATAGGATCGCCGTGGAGATGAAGATTGACCATGAAAGAACCATGAGGATGGCTGAAATTTATGCGAATAATGCTTTTATCACGGATTGGAGGCTGCAAAAAGTTGCTAGTAATAGATTTGGGCCCCAAATTAGAGCGGCAAACCTGCACAATAGAACCGGAAAAGGGTCCCAATCAGATGAACGTCCTCGTCAGTTCATCGGGTATAGTCATAATCGCTGCGGATGACGGGAGCGTGCGAATCAGGTTGGGTTTGGCGCAATGCAACCCTTTCACCACCAGCTGTTGAAACAGGTAAGCGGCAATAACTGATACGAGCGATGGTCTAGTCGCTTCCCGAAAGAATAAAAAAGAAACGGGCTGGCGTCGCACCAAACCAATACCGCTGATACGCCCTCTCACTCTCAGCGAACAAGACTGTGAAGAAGATGGCGCTGCTTCTGAAGGCGTAGGTCCGTCCAAAAAGTGAGAAGGACAGGCTTTTTGTAATGGCACGCGAGAAGTTCAACTCAATTTACGCCTTCAACGTTCTCTGGAGCATAAACTGCTCTTGCTGTAGGTGGTTCTAGGGTTTTCCTCTAATTGTGGCTGTACTGCCACGAACATGTGTCGTTCATCTTCCAGTGTCGCGCCCACGCTACCCAGTCCTGCGCAGACGTTCCGCCTGTGACGATGGAAACAATCTCGGAAAATGGGACCGACTCAGCCACTGGCATCTCGAGGATTCCACAAAATTCTGTTCCCAGGCATGCTGCGCAACTATCTCATTGAGGTAAGAGTTGTTTTTGGAGAGAAAAAGCGGGACACAAGCGTAACCCTGTGCCCATTCCGCAGCCAGAACTAGGATTCCGAAGCTCCAACGACAGGGCCAATTCGAGCCGGCTTGGTGCATCCTTTGAGGAGTGCGTTTGCAGATGTGATTTATCTCGCTCGTTTCGGCCTTCCCTGTTTTCTCTGTCGTCTGGTCTCTCCTTCGGGCTTCCGATGTTTCTTCGTCAGTATTAGTACATTTCTCAAAACGACCTCGTCGTAAGAACTTTCTAAGTGGTTCAAGCGGCATTTTTTCTGCTGGACAGCTGGGAACCATTCATCTGATTCTGTCGCCCTATGCCTCGGCTTTGATGGGAAGGCCGCGTCGATACTTGAGAGTGAGCCACCACTACTAGATGACCTCAAAGCTTGTAGTCAAGTTCCAGCATTCTGACTCTCATTTTCTTTGTACCTTTCGGAATTCAAGTCTCAATTGCGAGTTTCAAGATTACCCTGAAGAGCTGAAACGGTAAAACAGCCGTTGAACATTGCTGAATGCATGACACCCTTTATGGAACATGCTGCACCAGTTATAGAATACCCTGACCGCGCCATGAGAGCGCTCCATTTCAAGCCGTCCTGGAATTAGGGGGAATGCGTTGTGCAAAAAGATTTAATTTGTCTCCCCCCCCCCCCATCTCCGCTGGACGCAGAATATGTGTCTTGAAGGACATATTCCATGATCCGTAGTAACATGAGAGACCAGTAATGCGTCATGGCTAGACTATTGAATTTGTATAGTGAGTGTAAGATGACGACTAAAAACTATCAGCCGGGAGAGGCGGACAGAGGAAAGAGCAAGGAAATATTAGCGTTAGAGAGACACAGACAACAGGAGCAACCAGCACGCTTGTCACGATCGTGGTGGAGGATTAGAGGCAAAAAGTGCAACAACCTACTCACATCCTTAGACCGACCATAAAAAGCCATCAGCTTCTGCGATTCCGGTCTGTACTCATCTCCTCGTTTGGAAGGTTGGTTCCCTCAGTTTCAGACACGCGAAACGGTCTTCAACAAAATTCTCACTGTTTACTCTTTTCACTTTCCATTCAGCGCCGCAGCGAGGGTACGGTGGTAGAAAGTTCTGGTAGACTTTCAGAAATGAACAGACCACGTCATTGCTGCCTTGCCTGCCACTTTCTGAATGAGATAGCTGAGGAACGGAGCATTCTTAGCATATAGCCATCCGGATTACACAGAAAATGTGCATATAACGGGACTGCAAATTTCATCTACAAACTCAGGCACGTATATGTGTAAGAGGCGCAAGCAGACAGCAGAAATGCCGCGATGTAGCATTCCACTGAGTTCCTATACAACTATCGCACATTTCCGTTCGGCATATGATGCACTGCACAGCCATCGTAGTTATGACGACTACATCCACGGGTCCGCTGCATGTGCTAGGGCGTAACACAGGGGGTTCCTTACCAAATTGTGTAAGCTGGACGACCGATCTTTCCCAACAGCAGTATTCGTCGCACACACACAGTTGGTGGAGGAGAATGGGTTGGTACTGGTATAAACCCAGCCCCTCCCTAGCATCCCAAAGCGGACAGGACCCAGTACCCACTTAATTTCGACAAAGCAACTCTTTTTAAGTGTCACATACCATGAGCAATCATCAGCTTGTCGTTATTCGATCGTTCACCCTCATCAAATTGTGGATCTAGAATTTCACTGATTGATCTTTTGTAGATTTATGAAAATTGGGGCGAAATTTGAAGAACATTTTCTTTATTAAAACTAGAAACTACAAAATCATTTCCGAACTCTGGGTGTCCTTCTAAAACCTTTACGAATCTTCTTAGACCTACTCTCCACCAAGACCAACTCCTTTCATGTAGGCCGATAATCGTGTGCGTGGCAAAGCGTGCCGATTCGTTTGATGATACGACAAGCCTGAAAATCGATATTACACCAGCATCTGTGAGAGTAGAAAAAATTGAAAGAAATCAATAAGTGGACTGACGTTCGCCTTCAGTTGGTCCTGCAGCTAACAATATGTTATAGGTGCCGTTGAGATTGTATAGGTTGCTCTGGTTAGGGTCCAGTCGCTGACTAAAATAAAAGATAATAAGTCCTGAAAGTAAAGTGTTAGATAATCTCTATAACGCTGAGTTTCGAAATTCAGGCTGAATTTCCATGAAATTCCGCTCCCGGGTGTAGCCTAGTCCCAGAACATAGCTCTCAAATTTCTTCGACGCGAAAGGGCATCACGCCGGCGAAGGGAACTCAACCCTGATCGTATCGGCGGACGTGTTCAACACACATGTCTTTTCCTTTGCCCCTCCTCTTTGCTGACTAGGAGCCATCGGTGCACAAAAGAGAAGTGCACAAACGGTTGACTATCTCCGCCCACGCGATTATCGTGGACTGTGCTTTCCGAAACAGTTTTTCTTTGTTCAGGAAGGGAGGGGGAGAGGGTTAGGCACTTTGTACTTTCGGTGCTTTTCCGTTGTTGTGTTCAGTGCTTTATAAGGGCCAAATTTCTATTTGGTTCGACATGACAACGGAAAGCAGCAAAAGAGCAAGTGCCGCTAGCCGAACAACGCCGTGTATTTTCGAATTGACGCTGGTTCCCAGTGATTCCCCCGCTCCAGGGTCCTCTGATTCTGCAAGAGGCTCTGTCATCTGACTGAACACAACGGTTCCGAAATTTGAAATAGATTTCTAAGGCGTCACCTGACTGGACACTGAAATTGGTAAGATTCAAACCCACGAGAATTCTCAAAATTCTTTGCAGAACATTAACTAGTAGCCACAGTACAGTCCTCCCTTTTGGAACTGAGGAACAATTAAAACTCAACGAAATCGGATAATCTTTAGTGGGTCCTCACAGAGTATAAAATAATGAAATCAAAATCATTTACTTGATGGCACAATAGAGAACACCGCCGGTATTTGACGCTCGGAGAACATTCTGTATGCCGACATTACTCTGAAACACTATTCTGAATGACAACGACCTACAACACGATAACAGCGTCAAATATTAAGAGAAAGCCGAGGCCAAATTCGGGTAAAATGGAACTAGTAAGAGAGAGGGAAGAGTAGTAAGAAAGAAACATCGTGATCGATATTTTGTAAGCTGTCGGCGTTTTCATTAAGATAACTGCCTGTTATAAGCCCGCAGGGCCGTGCACTCAAACTTACCACCAATGTTGAGCGAAATTAAAAGACTCGCCTCAGGCTCTAACCTGCACTGTCACGCTTACTGGCGCCGTATTACCACTAAACCACTCAAAGGGCGCCTTCATAAAAGCTGTTTACTGAGACGATTGAGGCTCAGCGGCTGGTAACCATTAGTCGTATTCGCTCGGCGGTAAAATACACTTCCGCAGGTTGCCCGAATTAGTTCTCCTGGAAATAGACTCCCAAACACAATATTAGTGAAGTCCCACTTTTGTCGCTGGTTGTAAAAACTATCTAGACCAGCGCAACTCCTTAAATGGAGGCGTGACAATAATCCTTGTTGGGAACCTACAGATTAAGTCAAAAATCCAATTTAAGCGAGTACTTCAATTTTCACTTACAATGATTGTGTTGCTCGGCTTCTTTCCATTTCAAAAGCCCAGCACCGTCCAGAGTTGGCTGCGCTTTCTTAGTTGCAGCAGAACACGACCATAGTCGTCGCCTGGAGTGGCACACGGAGGTAAACTGCCGTCAAGTTGAAATGCGACAATCCGTGCGCTCACTACATGGAGAAAGTCCACAAACAACCAGTACCTTCTCTCCTGAGCCGCCCCTCTTTATTCTGTCTCTGCAGGTCAGCGTCTCTAAATAGCAACACAAGGGAGGCGATCCCAACTGACTTCCCCTAGCGTCATTCTACGTGCGTATTAGCATTCAAGCCCATAGGAATGTATATAGGAGAAGAGGCCGATGTTCTCAGGATTATATGCCAATAATGACGTTAAAAAAGGCAAGGTTGCTACAGGGGGGGGGAGATTCACTGACCACAAAAATGGCGCTCCTAGTGATTAGCGAGATCCTTCTGGAGCCGGGAACAAACCCTGTCAGAACAGGACGACATGTACTCAACTTCAAAAGGCCTCCTCTTTCTGCGGTCTACACTTTCCAGGACGCTATTAAAATGGGGGGATAACGACTAATAAAAGAGAGACGTACACAAAGGCGATGACAAGGGCAACCTGGGTCAGCATACCTCATAGGCCTAGGTGTGGGTACTGGGCCCAGATAGTAACCTCCGCTTAGCCCAGCTTGCACATTCTAGAGCCTCGAACAGAACACTCTCAGGAGTTGCGAACCGTGGTTACCTAATTGAGGGAGAGAACCGTCTTTGATCGTGGAGTATGGCTTTGAGCTCAGAATCAACTACCAGAGAGATTTCTCCCTCAGAAAAAACTCTCGTAACAATCCTCATTCCCGGTCCGGCCGTTCAACGACTCATTTTGATCGCTTGTCATTTACGTAAGGCCGCGGCAACGGAGCAGTCACAATGGCTGCGGTTGGCAAACAGTTCGCTATTGCACTTGTTCTTTGGCCCAAAAGGCTATGATTCACCTTCCAATTGGGAAGCACGTAGTACAGTAATATATTCGTCACCGTTAAATAAATAGATTTGACGCTATTCGATCAGAGGCCATCGACCCATTGAGAAGGGGCGGGAATACTCAAGTAACCTACTGGATTATCAAAGGTATCCCAACTGATTACTATAAACTGGTCCAATCTGAATGGCAAAGACACAGGCTAAGGGGAAGAAGGGATAAAACGTGCCATACTTTACTCCGAGGTAAACAAAAATCGATGCTGTTCGGCTTAGGGGGGGGGCATTTCCAGTTTACTAATTCCTATCGTTGGTTGACATGAGAAGACCTGTAATTTCTCGCGAATCAGGTGAGCCACTCTGGTCACAAAAAGTTACAAGCCTTTACAAGAGGGGTTGCAAGCTCCACGGAGTGCCATTCAGTGCCCCCACCAAGGCGAACAGCGCTGAATAATGTAGAGACTAACCATCTTATCGTCCTTTGAAAAACCGACAGCAACGTAGCCGTTTGCTGCCGGTGGCGTGCCAGACAGCTCCATCGCCAAATTAGTCCCATCGACCTGAAATCAGAGGATTTGCGCAATTTCCATAATAAGAGCGGAAAGGCAATTCTAAAGTGCAATAGGCACACCCGAGTGGGTGGACCTCAGCTCACCGGGAACCCCGGAGCCAACGTCATCGTGGATAGGACTCTACATCCACGTAACGGCAAGTCGGCAATGGTGAGCAACCGCAATCGAAATCGGTATTTAACCAGATTTTTCGAAGTGGAAGAGCCTCGTTGGGTCAACTAGCTAGGGAATAGTGGGTTAGTTTGTGCACGACAGTAAAGGGATCTAAGGTTCCACTACCACGATTAGCCTTGGTGACTCCACCTTGACTCAATAACGACTTTCTTGGAGAGATGTCACTACGCAAGTAAATAGAACGGGGGCGGAACCGTTTCCACAATGGAAGCGCACTATGGCAATATTCTACAAAAAGCGCAACGCCACCACGTATAAATGAAGTATGCAACCACGCCTACTTCATCTCCGTGATATGGAGTTACATTAAGGATTTTTCGCTGTTGATGGTAGGACACTTGAGTTCCCATACTTATTTATGCTTTCTTAAAGGCACACTTAAGAAATGGAATCCTTGATTACCGGATACGATAATTTGTCAGTATAAATTGACCTGTCAGTGAAAAAAAACCATCAACAATCAGCACCTTACGGGGCTGGACGTCCACAGTCCAGAGTGCGAGACCCCCTGCGCTCCATACCGTTCTCCCCCCCCCTCATTTTCCAAGGCAATCTTAAAAAAGCCTCCGAATGGACTGAAGGTTGAAATATCGTCGAAAAACTGTTCACAAAAGAAAAACGAACCTGATAACTGAACTGGATTTGACAATCTTGTCCTGGACGGCAATTTGGTGGAGCGAACAGACAACCCTTCATGTTGGCACATGGTGAGATATCGAACTGAGCTTGTGCCAACTGCAAGGAAGTCACAGATAAAAACAAGGACAATTAAGTTCAAGCTTCACATGACCGGCCTATACATAGTTTTCACATCATCGGGGAAAATTCTTGCAAAATATGACCTACTCAAAGTATCCTTCTCTTGTCGGACTCCCTTCTAAATTTTCAAAACTTCTTACTTTCCTAACACTTTTCGCTTTTTTCCCCACAAATTCCTCTACTTTACTCCCGAGGAGATAACGTCCGGGAAGCGGACCGGATAGGAAGATAGTAGCGCACTTGAGTAAAGACAGAGGAAACTCAACAAGCGAAGAACTTCTCATAAAGGCAAATACTCCCCCTCCTCCCTTCAGCGGCCAAATTTCGCTCGGCCTTCCGCGCTGTCGCCAGCTTTACGGACCATTTCTCATACCAAATTCAATATAAACGTACATTAGTGACAAATCTGTGGGCCTGATCACAAATATACGTCCAGTAAACATTAAAGCAAAGGTCAAACGAGTGGTAGGAAGTTTATAGAGTATGAGAGCTACTCAATAGCATCCAAGTGAAATCGAAGTTGAAATTCATGGCTACAAACGAACCACCTCCTGCCATTTGGGAAAATTTCTGCGAGTACGAGCCTTTTTCCTATCCTTATTTTACCTACCATCTTCTCCGATTTCTACGGTTTTTCCAAACTTATTTCAAATGTTTTTCCTATTTTCCCCATGCAGCCCATCTGAAACAGGAAAAACCAAGAGGAGTGAGCAATCGGAAAAATTTCAACGAAATACGACCCCCCCCCCTCTTGGGATCCTATAGTACGACGCGCTCTGTTTATGAATATGCTCGCGATATTCAATAACTAACAAGTTTGAGAAAACTTTGAGAACAATCTCGTTTATCGCCTCTGTTTTATAAAACCTATGCAAAACGGTAAAAATTACTAGATTGAAACCCGTTCAGGAATCCCTTACGGACGTGATCATAATATTTTTCATAGCAATAGTGAAATAAAATTGCTTCTATAGTTTTACGTCGGTGGTAAATCATACCAGACTGAGCGCGATGCTTATACGTAAATCTAAACCCATTACAGTAATCCCTAGGTTACCATCTGAGAAGTAGACGGATTCTTCAAATTCAGTAGAATCAGAGCACTCCCTGCCGTTGGTGGAAATTTTCGCAAAATACTGTCCCCTCGAAATTTCTTCCTCTATTACGGCACTACGACCTGACTCCGCATCCCACCTTGCATCCTCTTACAACTTCCCAATTGACTACCAGGGTTGGGGATTTTGATGAAGTCCGTACGACCCCCCCCCCACCTTAACCAGGGGTGGCCTTGATACTAGCCCCCCCCTGGTTCCCTCCTCTGATACGATCGAGGATCGAGCTGTTGAGCCCCTCGCCTTATATAGCCCGTGACACAAGAAAAATCAACTATCAAAAAATTTTCTCGGACCGAATACCGCCCTGTTGGGCAGGATTCGCCACGATTGCTTGTGCCTCGTTTCGCCACCATTTTTTCCAGCAATTGCACTCGTTCCGAGCATGGGGAGCGAGGGGGGGGGAGGGTGGAATAGGTGGAATATACATATACTATACTTGAAACAGGAAAAACGAAGAAAAGTCAACAGTCAACAACATTTTCCTCAAAGGCTCATACGACACCCTCCCTTAAGCGACCAAACCTGGGCATGCCCAACGTATGGCGTGCCCTGCTTAAAACGCTCATACAACAGCAATTCTACGCCCAGCAAGCAGAACTACTCCCAGTAGGGAGTCCTGAACAATGGCAGGGTCTTATAAGGGCATTTCATTTGAAGGAAACCATGTCAACCGTGAAAGCGAAGCTTTTTATCTTCGACTATCAGCTTCATGTCTGCGATCGTGATCCAAAATGTGTGATGAAAAACGATTTATTCATTTTTTGTAATATTCGGCCTGTCACTACATGATCGAAAGGATTGCTTATGAGCAAAATTCTTGACTCCAAGTGGGACTAGAACCCGCTTACAGAAAACTGAGCTATCCTTCATGCCACCAGGGCCACTCTCTCACTTTGACGGTACTACATTGTTTAATTACACAGTAGTTACTGTTAAGAAAAGCTGATTAAGTTGATCAAAGTGAAACAAACTCACCGTTAAAACGCTGCCGACCAGTAATAAAAGTGTTTCAGGAGGCATCTGAAAATCCGGAATTAAATCAAGCAGATCCAGGTCTATGCCTACACACGGGGTACATGAATAAAGGAATAAATAATACGACAAATATT